TTTTGTTCTGATCACTAGATGGCACCAGAGATCTTTCCTAGTATCCATCCAGTGCTGTGATTTTTCCCTGTGGGTGTCCAGGGAACTGAATGTGGGTGGCGTGGAATGGCTCAATGGCGTGGGATGCTGTGTCTGCCCTGTGTCGTGTGCTGTGGGGATCCCATGCCCAGAATTTCGTACCCCAGGTCTCAGTTCTGAAGCCCTCAGATCAGGGATGTGGTGGTAGACCAGTTCAGTGTCCGCATAAATGGTGCCATTTGCACTCTGTCCCATGCTAGAGTGCCTGGTTTTTGATTTTGCAGTGAGGGTCATTCATCTCAGTGATGGTTCCCACGTGTCTCCCCAGGAACTTATGTCACGGGCATGGGGATCTAGGCAACTGCAATCCACATATGTTTTATGAGTGTGTGCACACTTGTCTGCACAAGCTTACTGGCTGGCCTTGGGCTATTTGTAGGTCTCCACGGAGTCTTTGTTTTTCTCTAATGGTGCCTGGAGCCAGGGGTGAGAGTAGAGGAGGAGGCAAAATCACATCTCCTCCCTTGGTTTATTCCACCCTTTGCTGACCTATCAATGTTCACCCTGTTAGAGAGTCCTGGGTCACTTTACTAATAATTCCAACTGAACTCAGTTGTTCCTGGTTCCGCCATCTCTATGTGAGTTCCCTCAATTTCATAACTTTTGAAAATCTAGGGTTACTGGAATTTTAATTTATGTCTCTGCGTGCTATACTCTTAGAACTCTGTATGTCTGAAATTCTTTCTCACACAGTGTGTTTGTCCTTGCATAGACCTAAAGAGAAATTAATTTTCCTTAATGTTTGTGAATTCTGAGAAAAAATTAAAAGCTTTTGTTGAAGTTAATCTGAACTTTCTTTAGCTAGAGAAGCTAATAGAAAATTCAATAACTGCCTGAACCATACAAAATTCAAATGTGTAAACTGTCTATGTGTACATTCTCAAGTTTCTTGAATTTTGCTTCTGAAATCAATAAAAGTTAAACTAAAACGATTTGTGACTCTCTGCACTCAAATCATCTTTGCGCATGCATCTTATGAGGGTACACACATGCACACACACATTTATCCTCTAAATTTCTTGTTTTTCAAATAAGGGTTAAGCATTTCAGTTCAAAAGGCCTCCTGCTGTTATTCTTGTAAGTAGGACTGCTAGTAGCTGTTTGAATATCTCATCCTTCCCACCAAAGTTTCTGATTTGAATTTTGATCATTCTTATTTGGTCCCCTTGGACATGAAGAACAGTTTTACTCTTGCTACTTTCAATGCTATACCTTTGTATTCTCAGTTTGACTATGGCTCAAAAAGTGAATCTTTTTGTTTTTATCTTGCTAGAGCAAAACATTGTCTGTGGATTAATCATTTTCATCACATTTGTTAAGTTTTCAGCCAGTAATTCTACATGGTTTTTTCTTCCTTTTTTCCCTCCTTTCTTTCTGGTACGCTCATTCATGTATGTGGGTGTGCCAAACGATGTCTCACAGGACAGCTTTCTTCAAACTCTTTCCTCTTTGTTCTTCAGAATGCTTAATTTCTATTAATCCATCTTCATGTCAGCTGATTCTTTCTTCAGCCTCTCAAACCAGTTTTTAATCTGTTTTTATAATTTTCAGTTCCAGATTTTCTTTTTTTCCCCTCCAACAAATCACACATGCCCTCACCCTACCCCTCCAATTTGCCCATATCCTCCCCTCCCCCCTGCCCCGTTTTCTCAACTAACCATTATATTCTTCTTGGTGAGTTCAAGATTTGTTCCAACTCTTCAATGCAAAGAAGTGTTTTATGTATTTATATTCTACAGATAAGTGAAACTGTTTGATATCTGCCTTTCACTTTTTGACTTTTTTAACTCACCATAATCCCCTCAAGTTCCAATGATTTTTTTTCCTGCAAATGTAAACCTTTCATACTTTTAAGAAGACCTAATATCAATCCTCAATCCCTTCAAAAAATTATTGAACAGTAAGGAAAATTCCATATCACATTTTATAAGGCCAACATTACCTTGATCTCAAAACTAAATAATGAAAGTACAAAATGGAAAACTGTAGGGACATATCTCAACATAATAATAAAATCCATGTAGAGAAACCCACAACTCAGTGGTGAAAAACTGAAAGGTTTTCCCCTAAGAATAGAAACAAGACAGGTATGTCTACTCTTGTCACTAATACTCAACAAATTATTGGCAGTCTGAGTCAGAGCAGTTAAGCATGAGATAGAAACAAAAGGAATCCAAATTAGAAAAGAAGTGAAACCATCACTGTTTGCAGATGACATGATACTATACCTAGAAAGTGCAAAAGAATCTATAAAAAGGTAGTAGAAATATTAAAATCAGTAAATTGACAAGTTACATACTTGACATACATATGTGTTATGTCTCATATGCATATACACACTCAAGTAATCTCGCAAACTTCATATGTCAGTTTTTATGTGAACACATGAGTTGTCCACTTCTTTTATTTTATTTATTTTTTATTTGTACAAGCACTGGATACAGTCAGAAGCATGGGAGGGTGAGAGAATTCACCAGAGTCAGAGTGGGGAACAGAACAGGCAGACTGATGAAATACACTGCTGAGGGGAGCAGCGCGCACAGCAGGAAAGGTCTGCACGCCATGTGGGACCCTTGCTGGTGGCAGAGATCAAACTGGCACTGCAGAGGCTGCAGGCAGCTTTGCAGCCCAGCGCTCAACCGCTGCACCACCAGGGGAGACCCTGTCCACTTCTTTTTAATGCAGTACCTCCCAAAGAGTGGAAAGGCTTTGGCTGGCCTGGGGTCAGTGCCCAGAGTCACTTAGAGAAGGCATTTTATAGACTCTCCAAGCCTCTGGTATCTAGATTTAGATCATGTGTTCACATGTCATGTCTAACCAGATACTTAAAACCAAATTATGGCCATCCCTGCAAAACAATAGCACCAGTTATTGTTTGGAGACAATATCTTTATAAACTTGACTTAGTTTTTAAATGAAAAACATAAGGACTTCATAAGGAGAATAGATTGAGCCAGGCATATATATCCTGAATGAGGGGACCCTGGGGAATACAGAAATAGGAGGTGGTTTCACATAATTAGGAGGGGATAACTTCACCTTTAAGGGTAAAGAGAGGTATATCTAATAGAGAGGACATGTTCAACGATGATTCTATACTGGCTGATACCCCTCAAACTACAATACTTTTAGATCACTACTTCATTAGTAATGACCACTTTTTCTATTAGGAGTAGGATAAAGGAATTAGGAGAAAAGGCAAGAAATTATTCTTTACTTCCAGAGTCTCTATTGGCATTAGTTTCACATACCAAGATGACACCTATTGGAAAAGGACCTACCTAGGGCATCTTGGCAAAAGCCTCCCTGACTCCTTTTGGGGAGATTGATACCACAATCGCTTAATTATTATATAATGTGCATCTCTGTCTCCTAATACCTACTTTAGCTGGAAAAATATTTCATCTGCTATAAGGTTATCCTGACTTTTTGGTTCCTATTTGTTCTAGGATTGTTTTCCAACCTTTAATTTTGAACATACATTTATCTTTGGAGCTCTTTTGGGTCATCAGGAGACAACAGAAAATTGGGTTTTGTTTTCTGATCCAGCCAGTCACTGAGTGACTTTGATTGGTAAGTTCAGTCCATTTACATTTAGGATAATTATTGCTATTTAATGATTTGCTTCTGCCATTTTGTCTTTAATTTTCTGGTCCTATCTATTCATTTCCTTATTCAAGTTTTTGTTGTCCTTTTACTGAATTACAAATGGTTTGAGATGTTTGAGGATGAAATTCGTGATTCATGTACACTTACTATTAGTCACTGTGTTATCAACAAATGATACGTTGCTGATTGAAAATCATGGTCTTTGGAAGATAAATTATAAAATGATTCAGTACCTGGTAAATAAAAATTAACTCCAAAATATGTATTGAGTGATGGGTGTGTAGAAGATGTTTCTATGCTCACAGTAAATATTTCAGTGTTGAAAATCGTCATGAAAAGTAAATAATACTTGGGTAACATTTCCCCTAGTTTTGGTAAAATATTATATTTTTGCAGGTGAGAGGAGTTCCTGGGTTTTCCTCTTTTGCTTCAATTGTCCATACTTAGTATTATAGAAGTCAGTTGAACTTACAGAAACAGCAGAAGAGTGAGTGAATGACCATAAGAGGCAAAAGTGGGGGAAATTAGAAGAGGCTAATAAAAATGTAAAAATTTCAGCTAAAACATTAATCTGAGAATCTAATGTATACCATGGTGACTATAGTTGATAATTCTACATAGTACAAATTAAATTTCATAAGAACAGAACTTTAAGGCCTCCCCAGTGGCGCAGTGGGTTGAGCACGGCGCTGTGAAGCTGACCGCAGCCTCTGCAGCACGAGTTCGATCCCCAGCCGGCCAGGAAGAATCCCACATGATGAGGAAGACCTCTCCTGCTTCGCCTGCTGCTTCCCTCAGCAGTGTATTTCGGTCAGTCTGCCTGTTCTGCTCCAGCTCTGTCTCTCACCCTCCCACGACTCTGGCCTGTACCCCAGCTTTTGTATAAATAAAAATAATTCTTTAAAAAAAAATAGAGAGCTTTAATGTTCTCATTAAAAAATTAATGGCATGAAAATTAGAGCTGAAGACAGAGGAGATTCTGAAAGTAAAACTCTCCCAAAATAGCCAAAATTCCTGTGAGAACCTAAGAATTTTAAAGGCTATGAAATTGATGGGTTCAAACCAAGGTCTCCAAGAGATACCAGGAATGAGTTAATAGAGCTAAACTGGATGTATTGAAGAAAAAATTAAAGTCTGGGAGGCCCAGGAAGGTGGAGGGAGGGCTGGGCCCTGGGGGAGGGGCCATGGTCCTGCCTGCTCCTCTCCTGGCCCCTCCCCTGCAGTCAGGAGTCCTTTGTGACAAGGTCACCTCTGTGATGCAGAGCTGGGATTTAAGTCCCTGATTCCCCCCCCCCCCCCCCCACCCAGTGCTCAGATGCTCAAGAGCAGCTGTGCAATTCAGATCATGGAGAATTTTCTCTTTTCTCCGAAAAGCATTGTTAGTTGGCTGAGCACCAGCTCTATTTCTTGAGAGTTTAACATCATCTCCATCATGCTACTTCCCTTGCTCCAGAGTACTCCATCCTTAGCACCTCCTAGGAAGGACAGAGACATCAGGAAGGTAAGAAACTCTTGGGACAAACACAATAAAATACAACACAATAGGATTCTCTCTTCTCATTTCCACTTTTCTGGATCAGTGCAAGAGATTCTGGGAGGGGAGAGAACAGATCATCTTTTCTCAAAAGAATAGAATCTCAGACTGCTGGAGACAAGACAGGCCAAACAGTAGTTCCTCTGCTGAGGCTGAGGGGGGATCGGGTAGTGCAGAGACCCTGGGAGCCTCTCAGCAGGCCTCAGGAAGCAGGTCCTACCTGACCTGATTGACTTCAGCAGGAGGGCTAAGGATTTGTGTTTCTTGAAGACCAAGAAAGAGATCCGTGGTGGGTCTCACACAGAGATCCTTTCTTGTGATCTCCAAGGAAAGCGGACAGAAAATATTTCGATCCACTTGAGAAATGAGTAGAAGGAAATGAAACCAAAGGCTTCATTGGCTTAAAGGCAGAAAGTCATGCGTGAGCACCGAACATCTGTGGGCTGATCTAGAGGGAGGACAGGGAGAAAGAAGTGCCAGTTACTTTTTGTATTTCCTCATGTCTCAGCCAAAAATGCAGTGGAAGGTGAGGAAGAGGAGCAGAAAGAAACATGGAGCTTGGAAAGATGAGAGGCTGGAGGTTAGCCTGACAGATTTACCCCCTCTCTCCTGTCCCTGATAGCAGCTCCCAGTTCCAAGGTTATCAGGGCTCAGTCCTCAGAAAACAGAGGCTCCTTGAAGGAGACAGAACCCTGACACCTCCCAGATTTCAATGCTCAGAGGAGGCCAAGCCGAGCCTGGAAATATGTGTTATCAGCAGAGACATATGGCCGGAATGGACCAGCAGGGCCTGGCCTGAGAGATGGATCCTCCAGGTCCAGCTGGAATCAAATTTTTTAACTTTCTCAGATTCCTCTTTGGAGGACCTGCCCATTCTCCCCTACAGAGCAGTGATGAGGTCTCAGGATCAAAATGGCTTTGTAAATGACAAGCCCGCATCATAAGCCTTGCCATCATGGTCAGGCATCAGGTGACCTTAGACTCTAGAGTCAAATCCCACAAAGGTCTCCTGGAGCACGTGGTTCTTATCCTCCTATCAGACTCCCTGGCCCCTCCTTTCATATGTGACCAGGTATCTTGATTTACAGTAGCTTCTAGAGAATGCCTGACAGAACAAGAGGAAGATAAAAACCTGGTTTTACTTCTGCAAAGGTAAAGATTCTTCCCTTATGTTTCCTTTCAGAGCCTTTGGTATGACCCTCAGAGCCTCAAACAACCTCATGCTGACCTGGGACGGTGGGCTCTGGGGCTGAGGTGTGGCTAAAGTCCTGACATAGGTGGAGGGGGAGGGTAGGGGAGAGGACAGCAAGAGAATTATAAGTCAGCTTGGGGGCAGTGGAGGCTACAAGGGTTCTCTGGCCTGGCCAGTCCTACAGGCCTCTCTACGCCTACCTGCAACTTATGCCTCCTGTGTTCTGGAGTCATCTGGAAAAACACCCCGAAAAGGGTAAATTTCATCAAGCCCCCAAAGAAGCACCTGCCAGAGTCCACAGGTCATGTGTGAAAGATCCTGCTCCTGGCGTGACCACCATCAGGTCAGTGAAACCTCAATATGGTGAATGCAATTCAAAGAGAATCCCACTGGACACCATCCCAAAAAGTTCAGCTCCAGGTAACACAGGGAATGCCTGTGGCAGCATCTCCAGTGCCAGCCATGGCAGGGTTGAGCCTCACCAACTATCCCTTTTGGTTGTCTTCCTGGTAGTGGGAAAATACAAAGGCTTTTTTCTTTCTGGCCTCCTCGAGGTGCAAGTTCTAGCCACAGCACCTGCCCCAACAATGATCAGGGACCTCTTTCAGGGGTGGGGGGCCCACAAACAGGCAGATAGAAATTGGTAGTCTCTCATTTGTCATCCCTGATGTTCAGAAGCTGCTGGAGACTTTAATCAGCAAAAGAGTAGAACTGAACATTTGGGAAGGAAAAGCAAAGCATGGATCATTTCCAAAACAAACAAGCTCAATCTACCATCTGAATTTTTTGGAGGACATTACATTCTCCCCACTAATCCAGAACAAGGAAGAAAAGTGGAGCAACTGTCCAATCGTTAGCAGTTCTGTTATCTCCAGGCCGTGGGGGACTTTTTACACCAGAAATGCAGTCAGTGTTGCTAGGGACTTTCCTCGCTGCACAGTGAGTCCCTTGTGGCTACTGCTTTAGTCATGGGCAGCACATCTCAACCACAGACTTCCTTTGTTTTACTCATTGGAAACTAAATGTTTTCCACTTCCCAATCAGCTCATCATGTCTTCAAATCTTTCCCAGGCCACATTCAGGCCTCACCCTAGGTCCAGTTACAATCTTTGGCTGGAGACTTGCTCCAGTCCCAGCCCCCACTAGTGTCTCTGGTTCAGACCCAGGCCCATCACACTCCTGATTTCCAAATCCAACCACCTTTTTCTCCACCAGAGATTAGGTATTATGGGGTGTCTACTCCTACAGACCAGAGCAAGGCACAAGCCTTTGTCTCAATTAAAATTCAATTTCTGGAATGGTCCATGTGGCACAGGCCAAGAGAAAGGATGTCTTTATCCCCTGTTGTCCAAAACTCTGACCAAGTGGTTAATCAAGTCCCTGCCAGGCTTTTTCAGGATAGCTTCACCTTCCAGGCCCACAGTTCAGTGTGTGCCCATCACAGGGATCTTGTCAGTGCGAATCTCCAGGCACCACATCTCCAGAGGTGGCTGCTTCGAAGTGACCATCAGAACTGCTTGCCCTGCAGAATCCAGGCTGTGGAAGCAGTGTAGCTTCGAGGAGAACTCCCAGGTGTGTGTCACGCACTGGGCAGGCCTCAGCCCTCAATTGTCATCTGTGTTGTCATACCAAAATAGTTGGGATGCACGGGAGACAAGATGCGGGTTCCCAGGAGGTCCTACAGGAAGAATCTACTCACGATCCTACAAAAAAAGAATTTAGACAAGGGTCTAGGGCAGTGTCTGAGGAGGATCCCCAAAGACCAAAGCAAAGGCTTGGTTATTTTCCCAGTGAGCTCTGAGGAGCTGCAAAGACACCCAGTGAGGCCCGTGATGAGTGACTCAGGAAGTTGCTTGTCCAGGGGCCCAGAGGGGAAACAATTAGAAAAATTCTTAAAAGCCCATCTGGGCAAGAAGTTAGGGCAGATCAGCGAGGGTTTGTTCCCTATCACTGTGCGTAGATCTTGGCTTGCTGCCAACCTTGCTTCATCCACACCCAACACTCAGAGGGAACCCATACAGCTAGCACCCTTGAAGGGTTGGGCAAACTGCGTAAACACCTCTCACAAGCTTCCTTTCCTCAGTCCACGTGCTGGACAGGAGCTGGGAACACAAATGATCAGGTTTCGGGTAAGGCAGAACTGGGGCTTTTACTCCCAGGCCTTTGAACCCATAAATATCAAGGACTGCGAGGCTCAACCACTGTCCCTTTCAAGGCATGTCTCCCCCTGTGGATCTGGGACCCAGTCAAAAGCCAATTTTTCAAAGTCCTTGAGGAAACCTCCTCAATTAAACTAAAATGTCAGTTTCTACCCCCACCTGGTTAGCCCCTTTTCGACTCCCTCATATGTGAGTGAAGAAACCCAGAAGGCCCCAGGAGGGACCCCACCAGTCCATGTGCAGGGACCTTCAAACATTCTTCTGACTGGACAGGAGGGCAGTCTCCCCAGGCTCGTGAGGAGACCTCGGCACAGTGAGACTGTGCTGAAGGTTGAGATGGTCAACCTAGAGCTCACTCCTAGTACAGAAATGTTCACAAATAAGCTGAAATGTTCACAAATAAGGTGTTGCTCCAATTGGTGAGTGGAGGAAGACATAAAGTCCAAATCACATCAGACCTGTCCCAGAAGATAGCAATATTGAAGAGGAACTTAAAGACCAAATATTTGAGGGTCAAACAAGACTTAAGGCTGATGGAGATCAAGGAAGCCCCTGCATGGAAAGTTATCTTGGGCTCCAGTGAGCCAGACAGTGCCCCGACTGGTGTTGTGAATCTGAAGAGCTCACAGTTTTCTGAGTCCAGTGATGGCTTCATAACAACTACAGCATCTGCTGCCCCAAATCCAAAAAAGCCAGACCTTAAAACAAGGGTTGTCAGTCAGTGTGAGCTCCAAGGGAAAGTGGATGTAGAGAAACAACCTCAAGGCCAAGCACCAAAGTGCTCCCTAAAGGCTCCTACATTGAGGGGCTCTTATTAGATTACGGCACAGGTGTGCTCCTCCAAGATTGTACCACCACCGTGCTCCTCCCAGACTCTCACACAAATGTGCTTCTTGCTGCAAATACCTTGGCCTCTGACAGATCACTGTGTGATATCCAGAAAGAAAATCTTAGTGGGGACACATAAGCTCCCCAGGAGACATTAGACATCATACATTGGACAAGGCTGTCAGGGGCAGCAGGAACCAAGGATACCAAAAGTTAAGGTCCAAGATCAAAGTCAAAACAAGATATTGACCTCAGTTGGTGAGAGAGTGGATGATCTCATCACACTAATTGATGAGAAAGAAGAGAATGGTTTTTCAACTGACAAGGGGGAGGATATCTCCCCAACTGGTGAAAGGGAGGATGATGTTACCCCAATTGATGAGGGGGAAGATGATGTTGCTCCAATTGGTGAGTGGGAGGAAGACATAAAGTCCAAATCAAGAAAGCAGGAAAAACTTTTCTAGAACAGAGAACTTCCCAGACAAATAAGATCAGCCACCCTGCTCAGGTCAGGGAAACAGAAAAATTACTGAGGAACAAGACCCTCTGGCAAGAAAAGAAACTAGTTTCTCCAGAAAGCCGCATCAGAAAAAGAATGTGGCACTTTCTGGAGTGCCTGAAAAGCAATAAAAAAGACAAAGGGCAGGAAGAGCACCTTAAAAAAGCCAAGCCTGCACCAGCCACTGGCCAGAGCCAGGAGGGAATCAAAAGCAGGTTGACAACACACAGAGCTATGGAAGTGCAAATGATCACAGCAGCCTTAGGACACATTCTGGTGGAGACATTGGGACTATCCCAAGGAATTCGAGCTTCAGAAGTAAAGCAACACAAAAACAATGTCAGGTCACAGTAGGTCGGCATTCCTGCCGCCACAGCACTCTCACCCTCCCAGCGCAACAAAGAGTGATGAAAGGCACAACCTATAGCCACCAAGCAATGTCCCTGGGACACTGAAGTTCTATCGGAAAAGGGGCGGTGATAGACAGGGTCTTGTCACCCAGAGAGCCAGAGTCCCCAGCCAGACCAGGCCCGCACAGGCTGAGGGAGGCAGGGGCCTCTGGCCACATTCACCATTCTCCAACAAGCTGTCTTCAAAACTGTCTTGTCTGGACCACCAGATTTTTCTCCTGCTTTCACCAGTAGGAAATCCATTCTCCAAGAAGATACACAGTACATGCAGCAGAAATCTGACTTTCCTCCTAATAGCACATCCTCTGTGTGCTAGGGACCTCACTTATTGTGACATTTATTTCAAAAAAATATATGTATGTTCTCATATCAAGTGGTCTGTACCTTTTTATGGGGAAGGGCAGGGGTAATGGTCTCTCTTCTTAGCACTCACTTTGACTTAACTAGGGATAGCACCGTAGAGGGAGGCTGACTGCCGTGGGGCATACCTGTCCTCACCCTGGGTCTTTTGTGCACCCTAGGATTTCACATCAACCTACTGAAAGAACAGAGAAAGCAAGTAGTACTTGCCAAGATGAGAAGACCCAGGAGGTGGACTGGGCATCATCTCTTGCTTTCTCTGTGCTGGAACTGGTGCTGTTTTGGGAAGGGTTGTGATGAGGTAGAAATTCCTCTCATGGTTCAAAAAGTATGAAAGATGGCTGCACAGTGGCGGGTTGGAGGGTGCTGGTCTTGAGCCCAGAAATGGGAGAGCTCTGCCCCCATGACTTTGGGAGAATAGATGACCCTGCCTGGGGTCCATTCTCTCCCTGATGTCAAGGTTTAGGGTATGAGGAGGGGTGTGGTTGGCATTGGGGGAGGTGCTGAGTACTGTGTCCACTTGCCCAGAGGAGGAATGGTCCTCCTGGGGAGTGGAGCAGGAGTAAACTCTGTGCAGTCCCCATCTGACTGTGGAAAACAGTGAACAGAGTGGGAGGAGGATGCAGGAAACAAGGTGGCTCAGAGTTGCTCAGAAATAGTACAATGACCCATCCGGGCATCTCACCTCATTCTACAAGCACAGAGGGGAGGCGCTATTAGGGCCCCAGCAACTCAGCACAGCCCCTGATAGTTCCTACACAGGCTACCACCAGCATCCAGAGCAGACTTGCCACCTGCAGATCTTCAGAGAAGGTCAATTTCCCAGAGAAACGAAGCCTTTCAGAAGAGTTTGATGTCCCTCCCCAAGGACTCTGAGAAAACTGAGGAGCACTGGGAAACTCAGTAGGGACTCTCACATCTTCGTGGTCTTCCCTTTCCACCAAGCACATCTCCCAGAGTACTAAGTGTGAGACCTCAGATTTGAGACAATTGCATGGAAACTGACAGAGACCCAGCTATCACCAATGACAGATTTCGACAGACACGGGTGATAGACCCAAAGTGAACCCTGAAGAGATCACTGATGAGCTAGAAAGTTCTTTCACACTCCAATAGCATAATAACAACCAACCAAATTAAAATATGTGAAAATGAAAATGAAAGCCTTACTAGAAAAGTCTCTATTTAGTTCATTTTCACTTATTTTAATTTGGTTGTTTATTATGATGCTGTTGGATTGTACAAGAACTTTCTTTTGATACATTGTTTGCTTATAGAAATACCACTGATTTTTGTGTTTGATTTTGTATCCTGACACTTCAATATATTCATTCATTTGGAAGCCTTTTTGTAGAGTGTTTTGGACTCCCTAAGTATATTAGTATGTCATCTTGCATATTGAAAGTTACACTTCTTTTCTGAGATGGATTCTTTTTTTTTTTTTCTCTCTAATTGTTTCAGCTAGGACTTCCAAACCAATGTTGAATAACTACAGTGCTACTGGACTCCCTGTCATGTCCCTCATCTTAGTGAGAATGTTTTTAGCTTTCCACCTTTAGGGAAGACATTGGTTGTTGTCTTGTCATATGCGACTTTTATAATATATAGTAGATTACACTTATTCCCATTTCATGGAATTTTTAATCAGAAATGGATGTTGGGTCTTGTTCATTGCTTTTTTTTTTTTTTAGCATCTATTGAGATTATCTTGTGTTTTTTATGTCTGTTTATCTTGATCTGGTGAATGCCAATGCTTGATCTGCATATATTAAACTAACCTTGCATAACTGTGATGAAGCTTTCTTGATTATTGTGCATGGTTTTCTTGATATTCTGTATGTGGTTTTCTCAGTTTTTGTTTAGGATTTTTCCATCTATATTCACAAGAGATATTGGTTTATTTATTTATTTTCTTGTAATGTGTTTCTTAAGTTGAGATCTTGGTAATGTAGGTCTCACAGAATGTGTTGGGGAGCTTTCCTCCCTCTGATATTGTTAATGAGATGGAATAGGAGAGGTGTTAGAACTTCTTTGAAGATTTGGTAGAATTCACAGGAGAATGAAGAACTTTTTTTTCCCCCCAAAATACCACAAGTTAAATGGACAAAGGAGGGCCTCCCAGGTGGCGCAGCGGTTGAGCGCTGCATTGCAAAGCTGCACGCAGCCTCTGCAGTGCCGGTTCGATCCCCGGCTGCTCCCCAGCCTGGCGCGCAGACCTCTCCTGCCGCCCACTGCTCCCCTCAGCAGTGTAGTTCTGTCCTTCTGCCTGCTCTGCTCCCCGCTCTGGCTCTGGTGAATTCTCTCACCCTCCCGCGCTTCTGACTGTACCCAGTGCTTGTATAAATGAATCTTTAAAAAAAAAAAATGGACAAAGGACATCTATAGATACTTTTCCAAAGACGATGTACAAATGGTGAAGTAACACAAGAAGCTCAACATCATTCATCATTTGGGAAATGAAAATTATTACCATGTACTTCACACCTACTAGGATGGAAAAAAAAAATTAGAAACCAAATAAAAGTTGGTGAGGATGTGGAGAAATGCTAACCCCACTCAAATGCTTGCGGGAATGTTAAGTGTGTAGCCAGTGTGTGTTATAGTATGGCAGTTCTTCTATCAGTTAAACACAGACTTATCATATGATCCAGCAACTGTATTGCTAGGTATATGCACAAAAGAACTGAAAGCAGGGATTCACATAAATGAATGTTCATAGCTGCAATACTCACAATAGCCCAGAGGAAACAAATAAAGAAAATGTAGTGTACCCAGAGAACAGAACATACTTAGCATTAAATAGGAATAAAGGAATTAATTCCTGAGACATGCTATAAATCGGATGAACAATGCAAACGTGCTAAGTGAATGAAGCCAGACACAAAGGTCATACAAAACATGATTCCATTTATGGGAAATAGCCACAATAAGTACATCTATAGAAAGCAGATTAGTGAGTGCTAGGGATGAGGGGTGAAGAAAATGGGGAATGATTGCTTGGTGCGTATATGGTCTTCTTTGTAAGAGATTTTTGAATCAGGCAGCTGATTGTTGCACAATAAGTGAATGTGTTAAATTAATATTTAATATAATATTAATTATATTAAATAAAGTATATTAATAAAATATATTATATTAATAAAATATAATATTTAATATAATATTTCTGATCTGTACTCCAGAAAATGGTTAATTTCATGTTCTGTGAATTTTGCCTTAAACCTCACCCCCCCTAAACACACACACACACACACACACACACACACATCTCTATAGTCATGCTTTCTAAAGTCTCTTGCTTTACCTGCTAAAAAGCTGGTTTTTACAAAAAACATATTGTATTTTTTCACTTACATGAAATTCTACGAAAACCCACAACTATACAGCTCGGTGAATGGTGGCCTGGAGCTCGGTTATTGATTCTGAAGCGGTATTAGGGAACAGACTGGAGTGATAGAGATGTTTTATAGTGTGACTTGTGGTGGTGGTGGTGGGGTGTTTGTGTCCATTTGTCCAAAAGTGTTCAAACTATATACTTTAAATCTCTTTTATCATATAGCAATTATACTTTAATAAAACTGGTTTAAAAGGTTGAGTCTGGATTACAATTTAAAGGCCACAGTTGACATTTAATACTAATCTACTTCCCTGGTATGCCTAGAATGTGCTTCTGATACCAATTATACAAAGTGATGCAGACACAAGACATTAAAAGTGGTCATAAACAAAAACCACAACTGCAAAATGTTTCCAATGCCGAATCAATGATGAACAAGGTCACTTGCCAATTCTGGAGGAGGAGAGAGAGTTCCAGTAGTCACATACAATCCTGTCACTGCAAAGGAACATGGAGTTACACCAGGATTGCCAGGCTTCATTAAAGGATAAAAAGTCATATTTTAGTTTCTGTAACTCCAAGCACATGATACGTCCTTAGTACATTCACCTGACAATATTTAGTCATCAAAATAAAGTCCAAATGAATCAAAAGCCTAGTGTTTGATCCTGCTATTACGAGATGAAGAACAGTATGTTTTCTTCTCTTGGTCATGATTTTCAGTTCACACAATCAACCAGGGAACCTCACACACACACACTGTTTAGGCACCAGGAGAGAACATTAAAACTTCCAAACCCAGAATGATGGGAAGGGGACCAAGGGAATTTTGGGGGGAGATAGGGGTGTTTAATGTCATAATAGCTGTCATGATACCTGGTTTAAGTGTATATAACCAATGGTTCAATGTGTATGGTTAAGGTTTCTGTATTTCAGCACCTGAAAATTTTATCTATAATAAAAAGAACTATAATGGCGATGGCAACACCATCACAGAGAGACTGAGTGGGGAGTTAGGTGGAGGCTCAAAACATACCAGAACAGCAGACGCTAAAAACAAGGCCTGGTGAAGAACGTGGGGGATTCATTATGCTTTCAGGTTTCCATAGAGTGTCCTGGCATTTTCCTTTTGTTTAAAGATTCATTTTTATTTATGCATACAAGAACTGGGTATAGGCCAGAAGTGCGGGGGTGAGAGGATTCACCAGAGAGAGTGGGGAGCAGAACAGGTAGACTGACTGAAATACACTGTTGAGGGGAGCAGCTTCGAGAAAAGGAGAGGTCCGTTGTGCCATGTGGGTCAGCTCCCAGCCAGGGATGGAACTCATACCACAGTGGCTGACTGTAGCTTGATAGCTCTGAGACTTTAACCCCTTCACCACCAGGGCTTAAGCTACCAGTGTGCTGGCAATTTTCTAGAATAAAAAGTTAAATAACAGACAAACCCCTGCACTCCCTTCTCTGTCAAAAACTCAGATGAAACCCTTTTCCTCATTTACCCCTCACTATAGGGTCAAGTAAAACATATATACCCTTACCCAGGGATGTTGGAAGGAGGCGGAGGGACTTGTTCAAACACCATACACGTCTCCATACCCATTGAGGGCCAGTCACTAATATACCACTCATTCCCTAAGAAATCTGTAATGCTTCAGGTGTGCAAGCTTGACCCAAAGAGAGAACTTGGTAAGCAACCTTGTTCAGGTGTGCTAGCTGCACCAC